CCAAGACTGACGTCCACCCGAAGTCTCAAACTCAACCAGCTGAGGAACGGAGCACGGTAACGTCCGAAAAACCATGATGTATCGCCGTAAAAAAATTGCTAATAAGTTCATGCACATCATAATGACAAACTGCACATGCACAACAGCATACCAGAGATTCAGACCCATAACCCTCTGCACGATAACTACTACGCCACACGAACACCAGGTGAGTAGAGGGCGCTGGGCACCACTGTGATACTGCCAACCTGCGGCGTGAACGTGCATTTGGAAAATACCGTGTTGTAAAAACGAATCTTTTTAAGTTAGAAACGCAGAACCTGTTCTGAGAACGTTACGCCCTAAACACTCTGTCCTCTAAGACTCGGGAACTGCATTTTGCGAAATAGCAGCATTTAAGCCTCTCCAGCCCTGGACCCACGTTCAAATCCGATCAATGCCAAGACTGACGTCCACCCGAAGTGTCAAACTCAACCAGCTGAGGATCGGAGCACGGTAACGTCCGAAAAACCATGATGTATCGCCGTACAAAAATTGCTAATATGGTAATGCACATCATAATCTCTATATGCACAACAGCATACCAAAGAGTTAGAAACGCAGAACCTGTTCTGAGAACGTTACAACCTTAACACTCTCTCCTCTAAGACTCAGGAACTGCAGCTGAGAAGCACATCCCTGCACTCCTGCTTTGGTTAGGCGACCTGTACAGCAGTGACAATCAAAACAGGCAATCCTGTTCCTGGGAGGCCGCACCAGGTTTTACAGGTAACTTCTAGTCCACGAGACCTGGCGACGATTCGGGTAATCCCCCTCATCAGCTGATGTCGTCCCACCCAGCCTCCCCTCCCCGGTCCAGGCCTCAACCACACACATCTGGCCAAGATCCTGTTTGGCCAGGGACCGGTATTAAACCTGCAGTACTTCTGCCCCCTCAACCTGACAGCTGTCCTGGTGTCCCTGGGATACAATCCCTAGTAGAATCGGCTGATCCTGTTTGGCCAGGGACCGGTATTAAACCTGCAGTACTTCTGCCCCCTCAACCTGACAGCTGTCCTGGTGTCCCTGGGATACAATCCCTATTAGAATCGGCTGATCCTGTTTGGCCAGGGATCCTTAATCAGCTAGTGTCATACCAACCCAGCCTCCCCACCCTGGTCCAGAGTCACACAATTTCTGATGTCCCTAGGGCTATTATCACACTATTACAACTGGCTGATCCTGTTTGGCCAGGGAACAGGTGACACATTTCGGCAGCGGTCGGTAGGGGGAGACAAGGAATGCCTCCGGCTCAGAAGCTACAGACGGCCGGTGTTTCACTTAAGCCCGCGAGATTCGTCTCTGAACTGAGCCCGGGTCTCTCCGAGCTGGTCCCTTCTACGGCGCCAGATCAGCTCGCTGACCGGCCGAGGCCGGTTTCCCCAGCCCTCCGGTGAGGCAGGTGAGCTCAGACGTTAGCATTGCTGGGGCCACGGTGCCACACTACGTAACACATGAAGCCCTCGTTTCTCGTAACAGCACACCCAGGCTATACACTAGCACTACTGTTTAATGACACCGGTTTAGCCTGCTATTCTGTGTAGACTTTAAAATCCTCATGCTCACCTATAAGGCTCTGCATGGCTTGGCACCTCAGTACCTGTCTGAGCTATTATCGCCCTGCTCCCCACCTCGCAACCCTCGCTCTTCGAATTCTGCTCTCCTTACTGTCCCCCCCAAGCCCCGTCTACATTGTAGGGGTGACAGGGCCTTCTCCTGTTATGCCCCCAAGCTCTGGAACTCTCTGCCCAAGGATATCAGAGAGTCACCTTCTCTAAACTCCTTCAAATCCAGACTCAGTACCACCATCCACGGTCATTGTGTATTCTTTTTATTTATTATTGTTGTCATTCTGTAAAGCGCTTTGAGAAGCCACCTTTAAAGGCGCTATATAAAATACAGTTTATTATTATTATATTGTTTATTCAAATGAACGTATTGATGTGTTTATGGTCCTGTACTACCCATTATAAGTTGTTGTGCTTTGATGTACTGTCATTATTACAACAATAAAGTGTGGTGTGTGTCTGGGAGGTTGCTGGTTCGAATCCCGCGGCCGGCAGAGGAATCCTACTCCGTGGGGCCCCTGAGCGAGGCCCTTCACCCCCCCAGCTGCTCCAGGGGTGCCGTATAAATGGCCGACCCTGCGCTCTGACCCCCCAGCTTCTCTCTCCCTGTCTGTGTGTCTCCTGGAGAGCAAGCTGGGGTCTGTGAAAAGACACATCCCTAATGCAAGAAATTGTATATGGCCGATAAAGTGATCTGATCTTATTAATTATTATTATTTACTGTTCTGTAAACGACTGTGCTCATTGTGTGTTTCCAAGTGAACAGCTGATATATGAATCCAGACGTACATGTGCTTACAGCTAATAATCTCCTCTCTTATGTCATGTTTGCCAAGCCGTGTCGGACAGTGGTATCCTCGTACACGTACCCTCTGTGCAGGGCGGCCCCTCCTGCCCCTCTTCCGCCCCACGTCTTAACTTTGCCTCCCTCCTCCGGGGCGGGGCTCGGCTTGGGCGACGCCGGCTCTCCTCCCGGGCCGGCGCTGGTCCCGGTGGGCGGGTGGGGCCCCTGGTTGGCGATACTGATGCTGCCCGCGGCCCGGGGAGGCCGGGGAAGGTCTTCGGGGCGGCCGATGCTCAGAGGGCGGGGGGCCGGTTTGACAGTGGGGACCCACTCGCTTTCCTGGGCGCCGGCGTTGACCTTTGACCCTGTGGATGAAATCAGCAGGACGAGAACTGAGTCCCTTCATAAAAAAAAAATACAATATTAATATTAAAAGCCCATGCAGACGATCTGAGCGTGCCGTGTTGCTATACAGTATATTAGGGTGTGCAACATTTTTAATATGTGGAAAACCCCAACTTTTCAGACCCTAAGTTCTTCATACACTGAACTCTTAAGAGCATGGTATGTCTCAGAGGAGGGGCCCATTCTGTCCAAAGTGCAGTGTGCACGGTCCTTTGCTCATGAAGCCTGAGGACCGTAAAGTAGCAGCAGACCCGGCTAATGTCTCAAGGCCGAAAGCCCCAGCTGTTGACAGCTTGCGGCTGGCTGCCCAAAGATGAGATGCGCCGGAACAGCTAAAAAAAACCCCCTCTTGCAGACTGCTGGGCCGAGTGGCCTGAACAGCTGTGAACAGCTGGTGGCAGCCATCCTGCCCATGTGATCCGGATGTGATCCGGATCGCTGCTGGGGGGTGCATGGAAAACAAGCCTGAGGAGAACCGGAACCACCTGCCCGCGGGCGGGGAGTTCCTCCGGGACCCGGCGCTCCGGGGACTCACCCTGACAGGCGGCGCTGGAGTCGTCCTCCTCTTCAGCCAGCGTGCCCAGCTCCCTCTGGATCTCTGGAAGCACAGAAGCACACCCGCTGAGCGTCTCTGGGGTCCCCCCAGGAGCTCGCCTATACGGCTGGAGCCGAAGAGGGGGGGTGCCCCCTCTGCTCTTTGAAAATAAAGGGGGTGGGGGCGCCCGACTGCAAGGCAAGCGCCCCT